TAATGGCGAATTTCACTGGGCGTTTTGGAGCGCGCCGGGATCAGTTGACCAGTTTCGGACTGGAGCACACGATCCGAATGGGGTCGCGCCGCCTACGGATCCCCAGTAGAACATGACCACTGCTCCGGGATCGGCGGATGCCTTCCCGTCATTCGACTGCCCGGGAATCCCTTTCCGGGGCCGCCGCGGTTATTTCGAAGACGTTTTCGCAATCGCGGCGCTGTCACGTGTTTGACGCACGAGCGGCAGGAATGGCTCAGTCGCTTCTAGCAAAGATTGCCGGAATACCCTTAGCGCGGCAAATACCTTCTCTTCTCCTTCCTGGAAAACGAACCGGCTGTCGAGCCAAGGGGTAAGCAAGCGGCCATTACGAATTCTTCTGATGTCGAGACAATCTGGGAGCCCAGCCCGCGACGTGCTCCTTCTTCCGAGGCGAGATGGGCGAGATCAGGCGAGATGCCCCACGGGAAAAGAAGTCACGTGTGTGCGCCGAGGGCTGGCCCGGCTGGCTTCCGGTTGAATCCGCCGAAATCGTGGGAGCGACTTTTCTCGGATCCAGATCGAGATCTGGAGTGGGAGCTAATCCAAAACGACCAGTGAAACACGTCGGTCTCGATCCCGATCGCCCAGTGGAATAGGCTCGCTCCAGAAATGTCGATCCCGGCGCGCTTCAGAACGACCAGTGGAATTCGCCATAAGTTTCTTCAGGTTTCCTTTTGCCTGCGCCCGACGAAGCGGCAGCTGGGGATTCGGGTGATCCGGAGAAACGATGTTCGTAAAGGCAGCCTTCAAAGCGCTCCCGGGTATGCAGTTGCCACTTCAGGTTCATGTTTTCCTTCTTTTCGTTTTTCTATGGTGTGTAGATACAAGTCAGCTCCCGCGTTTCCAGTTGCCACTTCAAAAAAAGGTTTCATGTTTTGTTTTTCTTTATTTTTTGAATAGAGTGCAAATGCCAGTCAGCCGATTGGGTATAGGTATGCTTCCGTGTTGTTTATGGGCCACAGAAAGCGAATGGGGGACACGGAGTTCCCGTTTCTATAACGGTGCGTTTGACTGGCGCACGCTTTTGCTTGCTGAAGTGGCGATCCTCCGAAAACCGCCTGTCTGCTTTTTGGTTGTTGTAAACATTGGAATCGCCCACGGTTACCAAATAATCACAAAGCATTTAGGTAAAGCTGCTATGCTGTACAGTTTGTTGCTATGGGCACACCCGAAAAGGAATGGGAGCAGCTCTTTCCACGACCGCATCAACTGGTCTTGTGATTAAATAAAGAGAAATGAAGAACCGACTTGATGAATTGTGTTCGTGTTTGTATCGAGTAAACAAAGAAGTTTTCAATATTGTCTGGAGTCTCGAGACTGAAAACAGACAACAATAAACAGTTTCGAGTTTTTTTCTTTTTTTTGTTTTGTTTTGTTTACAGGACCTACACTGACACACAGCTGTTGCCTAAAGGGGGGTGACATAAATGCCGATGATCGCTCTGAAATCGGCGGTTGCACGTAAAAATCTCAAATATTCATAAAAGATGTATTTTAGTCGGGAATTTTTTTTTTCACTTCATGAATTTTCAAATTGTAGCAGTAAAAAAACGAGACTAACAAACTTGCCAGGGTCAGCGGCGTTCGCGAACGCGTCTGCCGTGGACCCGGGCAAGTTTGTTGGCCGCATTTTTCACAGAAATAGAGCTACGCTCTAACATTTCACAAGCTGAAATCCACCACAAAAATACACTTTTGATAAAAATTTGAGATTGGTGCCTGCAGGCATCGAGCTTCTCAGACGATCTTAGAGTGAGCCTTTTTACTATATTGTAGAGCGCGCAGCTACTCTGGAAGCATTGCGCTCCCGACCAATCGGGCCGCCAAGAGTTGTGTGACGTCATACCATGTGGCGGTTTGTGCGGGGCACATTCTGTGGTCCCTTGTCCTTGTTCGCATGATTGAGTACTTTTTAAGCTTTTATTTTTTTCTCGTTCGCTATAGATCGGGAGTGCAACTTCGCTGGCTGCCGCTTCGGTCCTCGCCGGGTTCCTCAAGTCGACTGCGAACATCCATGCAAACGAGCCGTCGCTGTACCGCGCGGCTATGGGTAAGCGCGTTTTTGCGACCCCCTTCTTTGGAAACAAATGCAAGATTTCTTCGAGGCAAACTCGCGTACAAAAGCCAGTTTGCGAACACTATCTGAGGCCTTCTTTTTTTCTATGGCAATTTTGTTACATATGTTACAAAAAAACGTTCTGTGCGGAAAAAATTTTTAGGCTCTCTATTTTTTGTTTTGGTGTTTCAACACACTTTATACCACGTGCGTTGGATGAAATTTGATTTTAAAATTGTTTCATGGTCCCTTTAAGAGAAGTGGGCGCTGCCATATGCTCCTCCCCCTCAAAAACCTCAACAAAAAACGTGCATTCGTACAAAGTGGCCCGTCTACGCCATTTCTTTCAGAGAAATTCATCGGTGAAGCTTGCTTTGCCGTTCTGATGTTGCGGCGGACTTTAAAAACGTAAGGTACTCTATAATGAATATATAATGTTTTTTTTTCTTCAAACCTTTGTTTTACGACTCATATGTAGGCACTAAGTGTTAGGTATTTTAAAGTGAAAATTCCGAAAACACCTAAGCACTTTGCAAAAGTTTGGTCTGCTGGGCAAGTTGGTAATGGACATTCATATTAAAAATAGCGCAAAAGAGACGGGACAAAAAGACGAAGAAGCACACAGGACAAGCACCAGTTAGCGCTTGTCCTGTGTGCTTCTTCGTCTTTTTGTCCCGTCTCTTTTGCGCTATTTTTAATATGAATGACTTAAGCACTTCTCATGAGTTGTGAATATGAAAGCATGAATGGTCGTTCTTCCCGCGTGCTTAATTCGCCTGCGGTGTACTAGCGTGGATTGCAACGTTTCGCTACTGCCGATTTTTGCGGCCGCTGACGATATAGATGCCTCAGGCGCCGCCATGTTCCTCGGCGCCGAGAAAAGCGGAAGCGGCCGCAGCCCCCCACCCCCTTCCAGCAACGCCTGACGCGGGAGCGGCTGCCGAGCGCGCTCCTTCTTGGCGTGCGGGCCGGAGCGCCAGGAAGAGGGCTTCTCTGAGGGGTGGCGTTCCTTGGAACTATGACGCGTCCCGGCCAATGGCTATCTGAAAGCCGTTTTGCTCAGCCAAAAACGAAACAAAAAAAACAACAACATTTATTTTTTGTTTTTTGCCGTTACAGACGCTGGCGGCTCCGTTCCATGGGATAGTTAATGCTTTCGCATTAAAACTGCCTGCAGACATACGGTCAAAGCTTGCACACGTGTGAAGCAAACATGGTTCGAGCACGCGTGAGGAGTGCAGATAGTCTTGCTATCATGTAAGCAGCAAACACTGTTTTCTAAATTTTTTTTCATGATGTTTGTAGTTTGACTGGGGTCCGAATCGTTTCGTCGAGACTCGTTTCACGAGAGCGCGTTTTGTTGACAACTATTCATGGACGCACGTTTCATGGATACATGTTTCGTCGACACTGATGTTTCGTGGAAAATCGTTTCGTGAATGCATGCTCCGGTGACGTCTCGTCGACAATGTAATTTTTGTTTTAGCAAGTGAATGGGATTACTGCTTCATTTTGTTCGCTGGAAGCATACCGGAACTAGGGCGAACTCGCAGCTCTGATAGGGGAAAAAGAAGTTTGCGAGTCCTAGTTTTAAACTTCTGAACAGTCCGCGCTACGGGCGGGAATCCCTCTCTCCGCTCGGGGGAACCTTAGTATAATCTCAAACAAGAGCTTGCACCAGACTCTGTCAGAACCGCCAAGGGTTCGGCAAGCTATGCGGAGAGCAAGTCGTCTGCTTCTCGCGCAGGAGTTACTCTGACGTCAGAATGGCTCCGAGCTCTGATTGGCTTTGGTTGAAAGGATAGTGGGTAGACCTCAATGCTTGATGCCTCGAGGTCGACCGAGGATTGTTTTCGATCAGCCGACAAGAGCTCGGCGTTCTGACATTATCTCAACCCTTGTGCGAGAAGCAGACGAACTTACCGTACACGTTACCATCCGGGTGACGACAACAGAGGCGATTTCCGCGGAAAGGTGTTTTCGACGAAATGTCGCGAGGTACGCCGACGAAACGAACGCGGCAACCTTTTTCGGTGAAACCAACTGTCAATGAAACGTCGCACGGTCGGCGAAGAACAATTTGTCATAAAACGTCGTTCGACGAACTGATTGCCACAGGTGTGACTGCGGCTTCACTGTGTATCGGGACAGCAGTATAGCCATCTAAGACACCTTACCAGCAGATAGCGTTTTTGTGGAGTGGTATCGGTGTCGGAGCCGATGCTGCCACTTCGAAACCTGTTTCGAATTCACACGCCTGGAGCTGCATCGACTATTTGAAGACGATCTAAAGCCGCGAACACACTGCTTGTTTACCATTAAAAAAACTCGAGTCTGCGGACACTGCCTGAGTAGTGTCTATTCGTTGTACGACCTGCCTGACTCATTGGTAATACAAGATCTGTCTCCAGACAGTTCTTGTTGCTCCAAACGGGCGTGAACGTAGATAAGTCTGCCATCATATCTGCAGAAAACACCGACTCTTTTGTATAATGTATGAATGTGGGTGCGGCTTTAAGGCCTGTTCACACATACAGCGGAGCGTTAAGTTAGCGCTCCAAGGAGCGCTCATGTGGCGCTTCCTGGCGCGTGACTTAGTTCTAACACAGCGCGCGATTAGCGCTTCTGTAGCGCCTTGTTAGCGCTTCAGTAGCTCCTTGTTAGCGCTTCAGTAGCGCTTCTTGTACCGCGGTGCTGCGGATTAGCGCGTGCACTGCGGTTCTGGTTCCATGTGTTTGGGTGTGCATCAGCAGCACCATGGCGGAATTGTGGGATGCTGAAATAGAAATGCGACAAATTCTCTTACACACGCGATTAGCGCATAGCATATGTGGGTGGACGGTTTAACGCCCAGAAAAGCCTTCTGGGTGCGCGAAATCTTTCGCCACCGAGATACCGAAGGGTACCCGGCGAACCTTGTTCCTATAGGCTGAGGGACCGAGACACATAGCTCTTTCGAAGGCGGTTATTTTTAACTGCGTGTCTTTGAAACCAAGGTCACGCATATCGAATAGAAATCGATGAGGTCGTACCCAATCAATTAGTAGCTCAGAGTCCATGACTCTGGATCGCCTGCCCGACCCTTTGCTTGGAGAGCGGCTGTTTTACTTCCTTCAATGCCAAAGGAAAGACAACAACAAAGGAATCGCCGTGCACGCGCTGTTCCGCAGCAGCAAGCACGGCACAAGGAGCGTGAGAGCGCTTCTGTAGCGCTAACAGAGCGCTAACAAAGCGCTTCTGTAGCGCTAACAGAGCGCTAACAAAGCGCTTCTGAAGCGCTAACAGAGCGCTACTGAAGCGCTAACCGAGCGCTACATCACGCGCTAGGAAGCGCCACATGAGCGCTCCTTCGAGCGCTCACGTAGCGCTAACTAAACGCTTCGCTGTATGTGTGAACCGGCCTTTACGAAACATCTTGTTGCCTTAATATTCGGAGAGTAATGAAAACCAAACAATACGATAAATGGCTCAACAGACGCTGATAAATGGATTCTTTCGTTGTCCCCAGCTGCGTTCGCTCTACTCGTCCTGCTAGCCATCATCTCCAGCGTCGTGTTCATTGCTGCCTGCCTGTGCCTATGGGGGGTACGCAGGGTAAGGCATCCGCAATTCCTGACTTCTCTTGGCCAGACATGGGGGAGTTTTCGTAGATCCCTTTTTTACCTCCACGAGGCTCCCCGCAACGAAGAAGCCACTACACATCTACGGCCCGTGCGCGAAACTATAGCCTGGCCTATTTCCGATCTCTGGCGTAGAGCTGAGCCGTACTGCTGAAGCCGTCTACGAATGCTCCCTAGAAAGGGAGTTTTCGTGGATCGTTTCCGCTGTCCAGCAACGCTTTCCGCAACCGGCCGCAAGGAGATTCGAAACTCGGAGGGGAAGGCTTGTGCAGTAGCTGTGTCTTCGCTGGGTACAGCCAGAGCCGGCCTTAGGGGTGGTCGGCCTGGGCGTTTTATCGGGGGTATCGCCATTTTGATAACTGTAGCGCCATCTAGCGAGTGTCTGGTGCCCGCTAAATTTAGCGAAAAAAATTTCCTCGCTAAATAGACCCTTTCCGAAATTCAGTGCCATCTGGCGTTTCGTAAAGCAGTTTAGGTTTTGCCATTTCAATGGCGGAAATGAACTTGTATCGACACCGTCACTTTTGCAAGTCAACGGCACGCCAGGAATTCTTCAGTGTGAGTTCTTTCTCGATCACTTTCAGTTCGATGGTGACCAAGAACCTGCATTCAGAACAAAGCTCCAACCCACTCAGATGCCTCGGGAAAATTCTATACGCCAAAATGCTTTAAAGCCGGTTGTGTGCCGCCCGCAGATTGACTGAATCTGAGTTATTAGAAATAAACGCTTGCGTAGCTCTTGTGTTTCGTTCCTCTGTCGCGTCGTACTGACCCGCGATCATCCGCTTAGAAGCATCTTCAACGTCTTCCTTTATGAGTTACTAGAAGGCCGTCATCGGTATGGCACAGATGCCTTTCAACAGATGATGATAGCGATCAAAGTGGGCAGACTGAATTTCGGAAAGGGTCTATTGGGTGGAAAAATTTTCCCGCTCAATTTAGCGGGAAAATTTTCCCACTAAACTTAGCGGAAAAATTGCCCGCTAAATTTGGCGGAAATATTTACCCACTAAAAATGGCGGAGAAGTTTCCCCGCTCAATTTGGCGGGAAATTTTCCCCGCTAAATTTAGTGGAAATAATTGGTGGAGAAATTTCCCCCCTAAATTTAGCAGAAAAATTGCCCGCTAGATTGGTGAGGAAATGTCCCCGCTATATTGGCGACGTGCGCGACCGAGAGCGTCGCTGTGGTCGGCCTTCCACGATTGGCCCAAAAGCTGACTATGACGTCGGAAAGGGTATACCATCGACGGAAATAAGAGGAATGAAAGAACTTTAATTTCGACGGTGTTGGCAGTGTTGCTTTGAGAGCGCAATGATTTCAGGCTTCCACCATGCTATTTACAAACAGCATCGAACTTGTTGCTCGTAAGGTAATGACATCACAAGGGGAAACCATAGGAGGGCGCCACCAAAACATCTCGCCGCTAATTGAGCCAGGAAATTTTCCTATAATTTATCGGGGAAATTTTATGCTAAATTTAGCGGCTCAATTTCCCCGCTAAGTTTAGCGGAAAAATTTTTTAGCCACATTTAAACGCCTTGTGACCCTCGTGAGGTCATGTTCGACTTCACGTGTGACGCCATTATGGAAAACGTCCCGTAATGCAATGCGTAGTCACGCCGACGGCGACGGCGACGCCGCTCAAGCCGGAAACGGGCGCCTAACCGCTCATTCACACTGGAAGCGGATCCGCGTTCGCAAAGCGGTTGCGACCGCGGTTGTATAAAGATCCAGTGCAATTGCACGCGCACTCGATGACATGAAGTGCGCGTGCCATTGTACTGGATCTTTATACAACCGCGTTCGCAACCGCTTTGCGAACGCGGATCCGCTTCCAGTGTGAATGAGCGGTAAGAGCTGCGCTCCAAAACGCAATGAGTCATTTTGGGGGCAAGGGTTCAGTTGGGGGACTTGTCAGTCCTCGTTTAGATAAGGCACAGCACAGCCCACAGAAAGTGGGTCGGCAGGGTGCTTTGCTCAAGAGTTCCCAGTTTGGAACTGAGGTCACTGTTTACGGTTCAAGTGAAGATCAGCGTGCGTTGGAACGTGTCCAAAAGTTGGCGCTGTGGCGTCGGTGCTCGGTGAATAGGTTGTGGCTATTAGCGGCGAGATGTTTCGGTGGCACCCTTGTCTGGTTACCTTTCGTGACGTCATTACCTTGTGAACAACAAGTTCGATGGCGTTTCTAATGAGCCTGGTGAAAGCCTCAAATCATAGCGCTCTCAAAGCAACACTGCCAACACCGTCAAAGTTGAAGTTCTTACATTCCTCTTATTTGCGTCGATGAGAAATCCTTTGCTGACGTCATAGTCAGCATTCGGCCAATTGTGGTGGGCCGACCACAGCGACGCTTTTGATCGTTCACGTCGCCAATATAAGGCTTTGAGGGAATAAACGCAGTAGCTGAACTTGGGACGTTCTTCTTCCTCAGTCATTTTTCTTCCACCGAGTTCCCCTCCGTTACCACAGTCTCGGGTAATCCACATCATGATCCATGGCCCATTTCTCTATTAAATTCGGTATCAAAAGATCGACACCAGATGGCGCCATCGGACGAGGAAGGGTAGAGTCTTGCCCTTTTTCGTGCAACGGCACACCCTGGTGTCTGCGATTGCTCCGAGGTAGGCGACTCCCCATTGGATCGTCGTAAGTGCCGCCATAGCAACAGCTCGATGCAAGTAGCCTTAAGGAGGCGCCAGTGGTTGCAGTCGCACTCGAAGTCCACTGTGTGAACGAGCCTTTAGAGCCCATAGATTCAGTCATGGCCATAAATATACTATGGCAGAAAGCGGTTTGGTGCCCCTCTAAGGCCGACCTGGACCTTGCGAATGGTGAAAACGGGGACGAAGTACAATGAAGTACACCCTCGGCGTCGCTTTTTTGACACCCGTTGCGGATTACCTTGGCAAAGTGTCTTATTCACTCGTATTACACTGCGCGACTCTGCTGGCGCGAACTCGCGACTTCGGCGCTTTCTTTCGAAGTTTACTTTGAAAGAGTATACAGGTGAGCATCAATATTTACCACTTAGGTTATCACCCAAACTGAGCATTTACCACCACTGCAGTAGTTTTGAAGACAGTTCTTCAATACTGGCAAAAAATAAAAGTGACGATGGCTTGTTCGCGCTAATAGTGTCGCGAAGCGTACAGAGTTTGCACAAAGGGGACTTGTTCGGTCGTTTTTTAAAGACTACGAAAATATAGAGACAGAGAGAGAGAGAAAGACTATCAAGCCATCTGCGAGATTCTGTAGGTTCTGTGATATTTTGAGCTATTGTCTTTTCTTCTTTTTTTCAGGATAATCGTCTCTGCGTCTTGCCTTTCCTGATATGTCAACTCGTGGACTTGGTGTTCCGAGCGATCCTTGTCATCTTCCTGATCGCAGTTCTCGCAACCACCGTGAGTCGTCTCGCTTTCGGTTGTTCCGCCTCCAGCGATCTTTTTACCTTACATAACACTTCGGCGTTTCGCAAGCCTCGAGCATGCGCGTGCAGTCAAAGCACGACGAAAAGTAACGGTCGCGTCTCCCCCAGCGTATTCTTTCCACCTTTGATAGCCAAAACACGATGAAAAGCAATAAGCACGTGCTGGAGGGGGAGCTTCTACTGAAGATGTTGGATTGCGACAAAACACTCGGAGTAATATTGAAATACCGCCACCCCCCTTACCATTTTTTTATGTTTAAATACGTTTGGAAGTGATTCCTAGAACACCTGTGTTGTACGTATCTTTACGCAACCGGAAGTTAGTCAGCCTCACTGGACGTCTGGCGTCTCAGCTGTAGATGAGAAATATCTTCGCTGTAGCGATTGACGACCTCACGCCGGTACGAGACGGTAAAAATTAAACCCGTTTTAAGAGGCACATTTCTGCCATCCAGCCATTTTGTCTCAATAAATCCCTATGTCCCGTTTTCGTGCGAACGCGCAAAGTTTCGTAATCAGTTCTAACTAAGCGAGTTAGAGAAAATAAGCCCCAAGGAATGTTTACTTGTAGTGGCCTGAGTTTTACAAAAATAAATATGATATGAAAAGGTTACCCCACGTTAAGGCAGGGCGCCAATTAAATTCCCAAACCGATTAATCGCTATCCTTTAACCGATTAATTACTCAATTAATCCTTTGTATCGGCCCAGGCATAATATCTCAAAAAGTGTCAAAACTCGACATTTGTTCTTTTAGAAATTATTTTTTTTTATAAACATCGTTGATTATTAATTTAGCCATAGATTCGCTCTGGCTGACAGTCACATAGAATGCTAAAAGGATGTACCCTGGAAGACAATACGAAAACGTAAGCGAACTCTAATAAAACGAAAATTCTTTTTACTTTTCATGGGACTTTTTGCGGCATTTGCCCAACCGTCTATATTAATTAAAAAAAATAAATATGGGAATTGAAGCATATTAATCGATTAATCGGAATGTTAATTGATAAACCGCCAGCAGCCCTACCGTACGTTGAGCGCTTTCTGGGATTTGAACAGCGAATGCATTTTGTTCACATCGACCTGTCTACTGGGGGAGTTTTCTACGTTCCTGACCCTTTTCGAAAAAGAGCGCCATCTAGTGGCAAATGTGCCAGCTATCAGAGTACGCCAATAGTGCTCGGCTCGTATTGGACACGAGCTACACCTCAGCGTTCGGCGAGGATTCGGGATCCAATCACACGCTTCGGGCTCGATGGGTGGATGGATGGATGGATGTCAGAGACGTATATGTAGAGAGTTTGGTCAATGGGAGGCGCGGGCAGAGCCAGGGCGTGCGGCAGACTCGGAAAGAGGGCTTGGCATGCTCTCTTGACCAACCAGAAGCCGAAAAGAATCCCCTAGCGGTGGTAGCGAGAAACAGTTCTGATCAAAGGTCTATGTTCGGATATGGTTTTAATAAGTGCGTAAGAGTGAAGTGTAGTAACTCTTTGTGGTTTAAAATAGGGTCCACGTGTTGTTTTGATCATGATCATGCAGAAAGATGTAAGAAACGAATGCGCCGCTCAACTCTGTTTTGCGCGGACAGAGTGTGACCGCTCGGACGGCAGATTCCCGGCCCTCGGCGTTTGGCGTACAGATCATGTCGATCGTTCCGCTAGTCGCACTCTTCCACCATCATTTTTGATGAGCGTGATTGAAACATCACGTGTACCATATTTTCAGCCATCGAGAGTTACTCCAATGCAGTTATCAGGTTTGTTTCTCGCGACCACCGCCAGGGTATTATTTCCGGCTTCTGGTTGGTCACATTCGAATTTCTGAAGACGCCCTGGAACACGCCCAACCCGGTTTCGGCCAATAGCGCCTCCTATTTTGTCTCCTATACTTCCCAACGAATGGCCAAACTCTCTACATATACGGCTCTGATGGATGTTAATGGCTATACTGTTTGTAACGGGCGGTAGCTTGCGCCACCTAGCATAAGTCTAAAAACAAAGCCGAAAAATCGCGACCGCCATTTTTAATTGATGAGATCTTAAAAAGGGTGTATTGGGCTTGCTTCGGTTGGCAATATTTCTTCCCCATTGTTCATTGGACAAGAAAGGCGCTTGTGTTCTCAGAGAAGGACTCTGGTAAAAGGTGCGTGTTTGAGTTAAACTAAATAGTACCACAGCTTCTCTTTCTGCAACCCTCCCCCCCATTCCCCTTTCGCCTTCTTAGATTCGATGTCCCGTTTTCTACTGTGGCGATTATGGTCACCCCAATTCTACGGCACAGGGATCTGCTCTTACGATGTATGTGTTTAAATTGCAGGCCATGTTGTGGTCTCCCGGAACCCTCACTTCGCTCGTGGTGTCCATGCTTCTTGAAGTGAGTTGAATTCGCCGTGTATGCCGACAGCCGTGCGAAGAAAAAAACTATCATTAGACGTGCTTATACAGCGCAAGGTCGGTCTGTCGGCCTTTGAGGTATGACGGCATCTTTGCTGTACATTAGGAATGTAAACAGTGCACCACGCGGTAGTGATACAGGACCACACGCTAATACTATTCGCATAAAAACAATTGGAAGCGACCTACCTTTATTTTTAAAGTAGTATATTGCATGAAATGCAGCATTTGAGGAGCGATCGTTTAAGACTATTTAGAAGACATTAAACGGACGTTTAGGAGGGTAAGTGTCTTTATTTTTATCAAATTCCCCGATACATTGAGCGGGCAAACTAAATGGATGTATAGGTCGCGTGACGTCAGGTCGCCTGACATTGATTTGCCGCTAAATTTAACGGCGAAACTGATTTGGTGTATATAGCTTACGTGACATCGGGTCACACGACATTAATTTTCCTTCTAAAGCTGGATGGATGGATGGATGGATGGATGAATACGGCTGAGCCCTTTGGACCGGGCGGTAGCTTACGCCACCTAGCCTCATTCATTATTAGCGCCATCTTTCGGCGGCCGCGGGTACTATCAGTGGCTCGGCGCCATCTTTGAGGCTTGTTAACCGTCCCCGTCACCCGACGCCCGCCGCAGTACGAACCCCCCTCTGTGCGTAGCGTTCGTACGAGTTGCTGTTTTTTAAATTTTTTTTTTAAATTCTTGATGGTGCCAGCCGCTCGAAAATAAGTTACGAATATTAAGCGCAAGCTTGTTTTCAGTGGTTTCCCTAAGAATCTCTTTTCAGAAAATTGAGCTTCATTCCAGCACCAGAGCAGGCCGACTCATGCACTTGTTTTAAAATCGTGCGTTAGCTTCTCCGACCAGCTGATTATGCCAGTTGGCACAAGGAAGATTTGTAGGATGTATTTAGCAGGGCCGTCAGCCCCTGTGTGATAGTTCGTTTTTATTTGGCGTTCGCGACTGCGGGTCTCAAGATGCGAGCAGTTCTTCACCCAGTGCGCCTTGACAACTGGCGTGTGCAGACCCGAATCGCAGAATTCTATGATAGGTGCGTTGAACGTTCAATCTTTGATCCCCGTTGTCTTATCCTTAGGAATATTGCAGATATGATTTCACACACACACACGAAAAAAATATGAAATTTAATTTATTAAATAAATTTGTATTCAGTTCCTTGGGAAGATCACCAAATGGTAGCTCAAAACAACATTATAAGGAGTGCATGTGATACAGCATGAATTTACGATAGTAGTATATTCATTGCAGGTACGCTACGAACTCCAAAACATCACTCATGCATTGATATCTCAAACGGATGATCGTACTTTCGGAAAAGAAGGGCGCGATCAAGCGAGGTCTTTGACGTCATTGTCCTCCGGGAGAATTTGAGAATGAGGGGAAGAGGCCTCGCTTCTCTCCTCCTCGCTTCGGTTCACCAGCTTGACGGGACGTAGCGAGGAGGAGAGGGAATGGGAATCGTGACGTACCTTGTCTCGTCGGCCTCGTCGGCCGTGTTCAATCGCGCACTTCTTTTCCAAAAATACGGCGATCCGGTAGAGATATTGCTGTATGAGTGATGTTTTTTGGGCTTTGCAGCGTCCCGCCTATCCGTTCACCCTTGTTTTGTGAGCTCGAAATTTCGGTTCAGTATCCCTTTAAGCACGAAACTCGGGTAGAAACAGTGTGCAGAGTTTACCTATGGGAAGATACAATTCGTTAAGTGATTTCTAGCTGTTCTTATAGGAAGGAAATGATTTAGTGAACCGTAAAATTAGTGTAGGCAAAAGCGGACATAGCTCAAGCCCCGACCAGGGCGGCCCTATAGCGGTAGACAGGTCATTTTCATCGGTAGGTCATTTTTAACCGCCTCACTCAGGTTACGGTTGCTCAAGGTTTGCGCCACGGAAGCAGCTTGCGGAATTCGTAAGAGCCTTCGATCCCGTCGTAATAATGACGGGCACACTGCACGCCCCCTTAATTTATCGCAATTGCTTCCCTATAAGTAGACGGCGAGAACCGCTGGGTGATGGCAAACAATCAGAGAGGCTGTGTATAGAGAATTTCCAACTGCGCGGTCGGGTTCATGTGGTTAATGGGCCGCGTTCGGTCGGGGTCATGTGGTTAATGTGCCGCGTTTGCAATTCGAGCTAGAGGTGACGAACAGGTTGGTCGTCTGCGAACGACTCCGCCTTCCCAACTGCTTTCCTCCTAGCCTTGCGATAACACAGCGCATGCTCACCCGCGACCAATTTCCGATAAAGGGCGTCCCCCATTAAACTGCAACAGCTCCCCGTAGTTTGAGTTGGACTCTCTCTACAATCGCGGGTACCTTTCCTGTACTCTCGCTTGTTGCAAGTGTCTGGCTTCTTTGCTAATGGATATATTCTAAGCTATTTGATTTACATGAGTTTAAAAATCGCCAGAAAAAATCAAGTTTACTCATTTGTAACGTTGTAAGCGGTTTTAAAAAGCTTGAAATAATATTTTTAGTTAACTCCGCGTGGCCAGCCCCAAAGCGATCAATGTCGGTTGTAAATAGCATTTCGCCAGCCGTGTGACAGCCACGCCTTTAGCAGAATAGTCTCCAGCGGAAAATAGATTCAAATGGAGGGCGTCGTCTGACATCGGCACATTCCTGTCAGACGGACCGCCTAAGCTCCTTTAGTAGGAAGAACCTTCTTCCGAAAGGAGGAGGAGTTCGTACCACACGGCACCGTAACTGCTGCCTCCACCAACCTCCAAGTCCCACTATACTCCATTTCACCTTAGCACGGACTAACTGCGAAGGCTGTGCAAGCGCGAGCGGCTAGCTTCGACTGCCTTGACTGGAGCACTCGCTGCACGAGCGCTCGTGCAGCCTCCGAGGTTTCATCCAAAGCAACTAGCTGGGGCTCTTGGCACGCACGGCTAACAATAGTGCATGCTAAGGTGACAACCCACAAGCCTCCAGCACGTGTGGCATGTAAGCGAAGGTATACCTTTGGCAGGCTTGCAGTCTCTCGGAGATCGTGAAGTAAGCACGAGTGATTGCAAGTCTGCCCAAGATACCTTCGCCTGCTTGCTTGCTGCACGCGCTTGCGGCGTGTCGGTGTCGGTTGCTTCTGTTTGTCGCTCTAGTGGGACTCGACCAAAAGCGTCCTCTTCGGAAAAGGAGCCTGCTTTAGTGCAAAGGAAGTACCCTCGATAGAAGGCACTAACGGCATTGGAGGCTATCGCTGGGGCATCCTTTTGCTTTCCTGCCGTGGTCACTTTGAAGGACTGACCTCGGCATGGCTTTTCAGGCGTTGGCTGAAGGGCATACGTACCCACGCGCAGAGGGCAGGGTCATGTAACGAAGTGGACGCGTAGCTGTCACCGCACTGCCAGCTTAGGGCAGAAAGTGCAGGGCCCGATCAAGAGAATTGAACATGTTTTCTTTCTTTGTTTTTTTCCCTAAAGATAAATTACGCATCGCAGAGAGCTGAAACTCCGCGAGAACCTGACGCTTTCGGTAGTGACAAGATGCGAAAGTGGGAGTATGACGTTCCATGGATCGAATATACCAGAGAATATACGAGAAAAAAACAAAAATTCTCTATAGGCCGACTTCCGCCTCAGCCTACAATTCATCATGGAGCCAAAAAGACGAGAATGTTTTCATTCTTCCTGTCGAGTTTTTTTTTTTTTTTTCAGGAAAATAAATGTTACAGTTGTCCACAAGAACATTTCTTGATTTCGACCCAATTCAGACGGAGACATTTCTCCCAGCAACTTGACGTCGCATACCCCTCCTTCCTGCGACTTTTATGCGACCTCCCGGTGCAGGCAACGTTACTAGAACCACTCAGTTGGGAAACTCCCATAGAGACTGCTCTGAAAAAGTCAAACCGATCCGTACTCTTGAACCGAGCTAATGGCGATCACAACGCCGCCATTTCTCCCGCAGCAGCCTTTCGAGGAACTCCACGTGACTTCTATTTTGGCTTTAATCGGCCATTTTGGCGCCGAAACAGATACGGTGGAAAGGGTTCCAGGGTGCCACTCCGGTCTACCAAGCGGACGCGCAGCGAAATACTACCGATGTTAAGATGCGCCTAGGTCGGGACGTGTTACCTGTAATCACCGTTGAGGCATGGTTGTAGAAAGCAATATTAATTGTGCCGCAAAACCTTGCGAACTAAAGATTTTAAAAAGCATCACGCGCCGTTCATATTGCAGTAAACTTCAATAAAAGTTACTACAAAAAGAGTTTTTTCCGTTGGTTTTTAAGCAAAAACATGCTTTCTAAAAGCTCAAGGTGACCACGGTAAAGACAAATGATAGAGTGGCGCTGTTATCGTATTTAGATCGGTCTCGGTGGACGCCAGCGGCCCAGGTTTCAACGGTGAGTTTCCCAACTGAGGGTTCTAGTAACGTTGAGTACAGGCAAATTGGAACAACCCAACTGTTACAATTTGCCATGATCAAGAAATTTTAATTTTCTTGCGCTACTTAGACAAACAGTTACGTGCTATAAACGTGTTTGTAAATTTTTATAGAACGTTGAGAATACTAACTAATCTTTTTGAAATCACTTATTCCTAAACACAACCCATTTTAAACCAACAAAGTCAATTATACTTCGTCTCACCCTACGATGGACTAAAGGCAGAAGCTACAAACCACCAGATCCAATCACGTGTAGCTTAGACATTCCGTGGTATTTCGCTTCGATGCGCGTATCGGTGCCCGTGTCTTGGATCACTGATGGGAATGGGCGGACAGTGGTTCGGATCGAGCAATGAGTGACTTCACAATTTTACATTGTAAAAAAAAAAAAAAAAGAAAGAAAACACGACGTACTGGCTCTTTGCAGTGTCGAAGCTATAAAAATGACGCGGCGTTTTTCGATTCGGAGCATTATTCGTCCAAACCTAATAAATGCTAAGCGTGTCATAGTTTAGCGTGTCATAGTTTAGCGTGGAACGTGATTGGACCTGGCGGCTCGTGGCTTTGGCCTTTAGTCCATCGTAGGATGAGACGAAGTGTAGTTGTCATCGCCACCACAGGGTAGTCACGTGAAAATATTGCGTCCCTGATTGGCTGCTGCCGCTTCAAAAGTCTTCGAGTTGTCCGAGTTGCTCGTCCGTTTCGAGCCCGACTCGAACCCAGCAATTCGTCTTGCAGCACGAGGACCTGGGAAAAGCTAGGGAACGACTCGCCAGCAACACCGAAATTCGTGCGAAAATTGCCTCGTCTGATGCGGACCATATGGGGACCTCGGCTCATAGACAAATTTTGTTTTCCCTCGTATATCTTGTTGATCCAGGTAACGTCATGTACTCAAACTTTAGCATTTCATCACCACCGCTATAGTGTCACACTCTCATGGAGTTTCAGCTTTCTGAACTGCGTTGTTTGTTTACGCGGGCCGAAAAACCCAATGTCCTTTTCTTGTTCTAACCCTATAGCATGTCGTTGCAACGACGTGTCCATGACAAGAGCAACATCAAGAGCCACTAAGGTTCGCTTCAAAGTACTGACACTTCAACCCTCTTGGTGCTCAAAATCATAATTGCCACCCATCCGAAGCAATAGTAGGTGACAGAATAAGAGTATGGGGTAGAAACTCCTCCAGCCGCTTTCCACTTTAATAGAGCGAACGCCGGAGAGGGGCGACCTCCTCTCTTGCGTTCGATGCCCTAAGTCTTTTTAGTGACTCTCGCACTCCCTTTTCCAGATCTACTTCCTCTGGGTAGTTGTGTCCTACTACAAGCAACTGGAGTTTGCCGAGAGAAACCCAGGCGTTGGCACGATGCCTGCCGCTCAAGTTGTGCCTCCTATGACTTACGTGCCACCTCCCAGTGCCCCGCCTTCGGCTCCGGGAGTGCGCAATTCAGGATACGTTGTGTGAAGAAGCTCATGTCTGCTCCTCGTGTTCTTGCTTTCTTTTTACCCTTTCGTTGAAGTAGGTGCGACTGGTTTACCAGTCTAGGAGAATATGTTCTACTTTTTTCACTCGCAATAGACAGGGCGCCATGCAGCGAAACGTTATGAGTAGAGGGGAGACCCCGCGTCCCGAAGAACACATGCAGTAAACTACGTGTCGCGCTTCGCCGAGCGAGAGGACTGCCACCCGCGCAACGACATACCGGAATCGCAACCACAGCCAGAGACAGCTGTTTCCGCTCTCCTGAGGGCTGCAAAAGCCGGTTCAGATTTGCGACAACTGCGTTGCGCTCCGTCACGTCGTGCAACATAGCGCTTCCCCATTGGCTCGTCGTATGGGTCGCCATAGCAACAGCTCGACGCAAGCAATCTTAACGCAGTCAAACACAACTGTGTGAACGAGCCTTAAAATACGGCTATTACAAGCGTGCACAGGCTGTAGACGGCTGACTTTCTTTTGTCGTCAATACACAATCAACCCACGACGATAAAGGAAAAGCCCGGGGCTGTGTACGTCCAGCCGTTCCAACTACGCAGAAGCTGTCGGCGCCAACGCTACCGGATTTTCGTGGAGTGAGATGTATTCCCTGGCAAAGTTTTTGATACGTGGCTTCTTGTCCTTCCCCGTGTTGCTTTTTTTTTCCTTCCTCGAGATTTTACAACCTGCCGTTAGCGAATAGATAGAGGGGTGCTGTTTGGTGGGATGATGAAATTATTTAAAAGTGCGTGGTTCGGCTGTTGTAGTCATTGCAGCCATTGAACACGGTGAGTGTTCAATGGCTGCTCGTCCAGCTATTGATTATCACGAGCCCAAATCGAGTGCTCACGCAATGCTCGGGTCCAATCTATGAGCCGCAGATTCAAATACCGTCACTGAAGGATACTGCCAACGTTGGAAACTGCGACACCCCAGCTACGTCATCATGTTTTGCGAAGGAGAGATTGAAAGAGAGCGCTCGCCTTTGTCCATGGAATTAGACCTCCACAAAGGACTTTCTTGCTCAGTGGCGTTGCGTGCGAGCGTACTTAAGTCCCGCCGAGTGAAAAACATTCCAAGCTAATAACGTTGAATAAGGGTGGCGATGTGGGTTAGTTGGCTCATACTGACAAAAAGGCAAACAGCGCGCAGTAAACGGGGACTAGAGGAAGTGCGAACAGACAAGCGCTGACTCTCAACTGAAATTTAATCACAAGGAAACAAAACAAAGAAAACAGCAACTCCGCCCACGTCACATGACACATTCACCACGTGTCCATAAAAAAACATCTCTTTGCTACTCAGGCCCAGTGACGTTTGGCTTACGCAGTTCGCTCCGGCTTTGATGATTGCATGCGCCTCTACAATTTCTCTACTCACTCTTTCCCTACCATTGCCAATGATACTAGTCTTACTGAAGATAGGTTCGCACCCACAACCATGACAATGCAATGGCAAATGCCCCCCTACAGCTCCAACCACAGATCGCAACGACAAGTCATGCTCCCGCAATCTGTGATTAACACATCTGCCCGTCTGCCCGACGTAGGCTTTCCCACACGTTAGTGGAATCGTGTAAACAACTCCCACCTTGCAAACAACATATTGATTCTCATGCTTCACCGAGCAGGCGGGGCCTTTGTCCTTCTTAGCGGCAACTCTCGCGCATAATTGCGAAAGCTTACACGGAGCGGAAAACACCAATGGCACATCGTACCTCAAGGCAACTTTTTTCAAGTTGTGTGAAATTCTATGGAGATGAAAGAAGATGAATTTTTCAATACTGCTATTATTTTCATTTTCTTTTCTTTAGATTGATATGATTTTTGCGCGTGTAATAAGCACGTTATTGCATGCTGTTTTTTGCATCCTCCCTCATATAATGCCCTAAGCAGGCGACTTGAGGTACGTTAAATAAAAAGTACCTCGTACCGTTTCACTCTTGTACATAATCCATAAGTTGTATTGCAGCGGTTGTTATTCAAACATTTCTGTCCTTAAACCGACTGACAGATCATTTAAAACTACCGAAAATGGCGTACGCCGCGTCGAGGAACCGCAGGCCGATTTGGGTTGCTATCGCAACCCGAATTGGCCGGTGCTACCTCGACGCGGTGTATGCCATCTGTCGGCAGCACTTCTCACTACACGTGCATCGTCTGCGAAGTGATAGCGTAGAATGCCCAGAACAGGTTCCTGTTGTGTTTTTCTGTTAAACCAGGACATTTGATTCCTTAATTTTTTCACCATAAACTTCTACCACCTACTTGCACCTCAGCAGTAAATCGCAGCGCGATATGCTGAGAACCCGGTTTTTAAGCGTTAGTTTGCATTCATTTTCGTTTCCAAACTGTGTGTTCCATTGAGTAGGGTACCACCATGCCGGCGCCGCTCCGGAACATCGCCGGCTTGAAGGCACTAGAAAGGCTATCTAGAGGGCACCCTATGGTGGTGTGGTGGTGTCAAACGCTTTTAAAAATATGACGCCCTGTCTGGCGCTAAGCCCCACGGTGAAACGGCATATACACCATGAACTTGAAGCGGAAGTCTTCCATGGAATATGCGGCGGTTACAATGGTAGCCGTCCGTTAAAACGGTTGCCAGTCGAACGATGGAAGGTGAGCCGTGGGGGGAGAGGGAGGGTACTGCTCGTGGAAGCAGCGTTTTGCAGCGTCTATTATCCCCGTAAGTGTGACGTCACGGCTCCAAAGAAACCGCTGCTAGAGGCGTTGTTATGGACGAATACATGGAACTGGATTTCGCAACCAAAGAGCGATCGGTCGAAAATCGGACGTAGAATTTAAACGTCCAAAATAATAGATCACAAAGCCTAGATTTCACACTTACCACGACAGCCAGCGTCGTCACAGCCTCTACAGGGCGAGCGGGGCGAGTCTGGGAAAAATTCTCTCCTCGCCGTGACGTCACCTCGGTTTGCCGTAAGGGGGCGCCACGCGAACTTCTCGGGGCTAATTGTAGCCACCGTCCTGAGCGCTCAAGCGCACTTTGTATTTCGCCGCCCCGCAGTAGGAGCGGGCTCAGGTCAAGTTGTTTGCCCTGTGGAAACGCGTACACCCCGCCCCCCCCCTCCCCCCCCTTTCTCTTTTTTTTTTCTCCCTAGTTTTGAACTTTTTTGCCGCGGCGATTTGCCCTCACTTGAATGTCATCTCCTGACGAAGCCGAGTCGCTCGGCGAAACTGTCGATTAAACTTCCGCTGTTTGTTGCTTTTCACCGTGAGTTTTTCACTTCGTTATATATACGCCTTCGGCCACTTGGCTCTTATGCCACCATGCCCACTGTTTCAAGACCGGCCCCCGGCGCACCCACGGTGGAGCAACTCTCACGGAAGTACCCCAAGCACCTTCCAACCTCCGCAGTAATCGGAAACTCCCAGACGAGGTACCTGTTTCACCACTTAAATCCATATGACAAGGCGACCCCTGCTTTCATCACCATCCGCGGGGCCTCAACTTTCGATATCGAGAGGGAGCTGACCAATTTTCCACGATCCGTAACGACCCTCATCTTCCACGTCGGGACGAGCGAGTTGGAAAAGTTCGGCTCCGAAGAAACGCTTCGACGTTGTCGCCGTCTAGTCATCAACACCTTGCAAGCGCGTCCGGAGCTTCACAGCCTTGTTGTATCACTCGTGCTACCGCGGTACACGAACCGCCGTTTGGAACAACCCAATGACCGTTTCATACACTGGTTCAACAACGAGACCCGCCATTTCAATGACACGGTGAAGGGCTACTGCCGGAAACCGGGCAAGGTGACCTTCCTCGACCATGGGTTCACGACGCTCCCGCCTCGTCGATTTCTGGCCGCGGACGGACTACACCCGAGATTTTCCGGAGTAGCGCTGATCGCACAAAACTTGAAAAGCCTGCTCCTGCAAGGCAAACCCTTCACGCTAACTGGATGGTCATCTGAGGTTCCTGTCACCCCCCCCCCCCCCCCCCCCCCCCAAGAAACCTCCGACGGTCGCCTCTCCACCCCTTTCGAGCGGTAGCGCCCACAAGGACGCCCTTCCAAGAAGAAGACTCTCCCTCCCAAGAAGTTCCTGCGATACGGTTCAGAGCCACGGAGCACCACACTCTACAACCGATGGCACAGTCTTTGACCTCGACTGCAATGACTTCCCGGCTCTCGCTGACAGTACGACGCCAAGAGCCAAGGTCCCGACTCCTCGGGGCTCAAGACCCTCCACAACACAACGCTGCAACCTACGGAGAACCGTCCCGCAAACTCCTCACCCAAAAGAAGACTGACTTGTTCCCGGTGAGTCCAATTCCTTGCCAACAAACTACAGTACCACCTTCCTTAAAGTACAAAAATTAACTGACAAGCGAATTAGACATGAACTCCACAAATCAACTCTGCAAGTGTACCTGAACGCGGGGGTCCCCAGCGAGGGGCATGTCACTGTCTCTCCCTCCGGCTATCACAAACCTCGATCGATTTGACCAATCGGAATGGGATTCCGTCCTTTTAGAGGCGTCACTTAAACTGGTAAAAATCGCAATCAGTCATAGTGATAAACAAGTAAAAAAATGTAACACCTCAATAACCACTATTATCCGATCGAACGACCCGCTTTCGACGCATGAAACAACCTCCTTACACGAATTCGAAAGAAAGAAACGCCGCGAGCTTGAAACAATCAAGTCACGCAAACGCGATCGAGACAAAGTACCACACCCCATACAACCTCCATCCGTACCAAACCAAAACGATGCCGGTATTCAGCCAAACACTAGAATTACAGACAACATGCGCCGAGACGAAGATAACTCTTCAAATATTAACGAGGCGAGTGGTACATGCACTATCGTTAATTTGTCTGGAATTCCTCTATCAGCCGAAGAAGAAAAAGTTATTTCTAAAGGACTAAACTTTTGCCCTGCCACTGGTTACATTGATGAGTTCCAAGTCCTCCGAGACCTAGATAACTTTGCCAGAAATTTAAGGTTGCGGGAATACTTTGTAGATAAACCGTCCAACTCCAAAAACACACAGCCACGTCCAACTAGCGATTGGACTCCAAAGACCCGTCGCAAC